ATTCACACCATAGAGATCCAGAGCCAGCTGCCTCTGGATCCTGCAGTATTTATAAATGCATTCACCAACAGCTGAGAGTGCAAGATGGAAATAGATGCTGGCTGTGGTATATCCATAATTGATCAAAATATCTGCTACAATTGTTTGCAAAAGGTATGCTGACAAGCTGGTAAAGACCAACATGATTCTAGCAGCCATTTGATGTTGGGGGGAAGCTGGTTATGAATATGAATCATAGCACCTCTCTGAGTGCCATGTCAGATTTCCCCTGGACACCATCCTGTCACTGTTCAGAAATCTCCCAGGAGAGGATTTGTCCGTGCTGCTGTGAACAAACATTCTAAAGCCCAACTTCAGGAACTCGTGCCAATACTTCCCCAGGTGTTCTTTGAGGACCCAGTGTCATTTTAGAAAGATTTAGTCACTGAGTCTTTTAACCAATGGCCAGAATTGGAAGTTTACTTGAAGGACAAATGTAAAACCACCATGAAGATCTAATCATACAAGAAGTCCTTTATAGCTACTCTGGCTGTTTTATGCTGGTAGTAGCAGAAAGTCTATGGATTCAGTTTGCCTCTGCTATTTGCATTGGCAATACCATAGACAGCCTTGTTCACCTCTTTGAACTTCAGTTCCATCACTATAACTGATAAGAAATCTAGTTAGAGAAAAAGGACAGAAAATTCACTTTTTGACCAGGGATTTTGTCTGAGTTAGTTCAGGCTGCCATACAAAACATCATAGTGTGGATAGGCTAAACAAACACATTCACATTTATATATCACAGTTGCTGGAAATCCAAAATTGAAGGGCCCACAAATCCCATTCCTGGAAAGGTCCCCCTTCATGGTTTACAGATGTCTTTCTTCTCATTGTATTCTCATACAAGGTGGAGGGAGACAAAAATCTGACCTTATTTACTTTCTTATCTGGCCACCAATCCCATAATGGGGTTTCCACCATCATGACCTCATCTAAGTCTAATTCCTTTCAAGGCTCCATCTCCAAATACCATCATAGCAGGGATTAGGACTTCAACATAAGAATTTGGGGGATATAAATATTCAGTGCACAGCAGATTCTTTGGCTCGTAAAGCAATGTGAGGAAGCCAATCAGGTGTCATCGAATAACTAAGGTCATATATCACTGCTTTGTCCATGGCTACAACAAAATATCTGAAGCTTGGTAGTTTGTAAAGAAAAGAGTTTTTCTTTCTTGCTTTTATTTTTCTCACAGTTCTGGAGGTCCCAGAATGTGGCACTAGCTTATGACCAGCTTCATGGCTGATGGCATCACATGATGAGAGAATAGGCTGAAGAAAGCGCGTGGTGAGAGAAACAGCCAGAGATCAGGGAGGAGCAATTGTGGTTTTTCATAAATAACAACTCATTCTTGCAGGAATGAACTCATTCAATGAGACCATCATCAATTTCTTCTGAGAGCAGTGCCCCTAATGAATGAATTACTGTTCCCTAAGTCTTACCTCTTAAAGGTTCCACTACCTTTATTTGGTCACACTAGGGACCAAGTTTCAATACATGAATCTTTGAGAGACACACTCAGACCAAATCCAATCCTTTGTCTCCAAGTTTCATGCCCTCATAGTGTTAAATACAATTATTCTATCCTCAAAAGTGCCAAGTCCTACTTCACTCAAACAAAGCTCAAAATTCTAAATACAAAGTTTCCTCTGTGACTCAAGGCAAACTCTTTGAGCTGTGAGCTCAAAAACAAAATTTACCTCTTTCAAAGATGCGAAGTCTTTGAGCTTTGAGCTTGAAAACAAGTTACCTATTTCCAAGATACAATGGCAGGACAGGGAAAGGATAACTGTTGCTATTTAAAAATGAGTAAGGCAGGAGGTAGAAAGGAGTAACAAGCCCAAAGCAAGGCTGAAACCAACCAAGGCAGAGATTTTGTGGTAGAACTCCAAATCTGTCATCCTGTGCACACTGAAGTGGGTGAGTCCCCAAGGCTCCAGTTTTTGCTGATTGCAGTCCTCATGGCTGCTCTGCAAGTGTTGCTTGGAAAGCCTGTGGCTGTGTGCTGCTGGTGCCTCTCGCTTCCTGGGGGCCTGGCAGTGGCTCCACTCCCTCTGTTCTATGCCACATACCCCAATTGGGAGCTTTCTGTGGTAGCTCTGCCCCCGTGGCTGACTTCTGCCTGATCTCCCAGACTTTTCTTTGAAATTTCGGTGGAAGTTGCCATGACTTCATGGCTCTTGCGTTCTGGACATGGGCAGAATCACCAGGCTCTGTTACTTCCTCTCCTCAGCTGCACCTGGGTCCACTTGAACCAGTGCTGGAGAGCCACGGACACTTCACTGGGGAGCTGGGAGCAGAATCCTGAGACTTGGAGAGCACCTAAGGGTTCCGTGAAACACCTCTGCCCTTCGAGGCCCTGGGCCTATGATGGCATGAGCCCCCGAGAGATTTCTGAGGCACCCTCCAGATCTTTTTCCTGTTGTCTTGACAATTAGCATCTTAAAAAAAATCTTAAAAATCATGGCCCGAGCAAGTAGTCGCTCTACTGTACCCTCTAAGGATTCCTCCTCAGTCCTTCTCTGGTCATATGGCAACTTTTCCAAAACTTTCAGCTCTGCTTCCCTTTGTTGCTAAATCTCACTCCGAATATTACTAAACATAACTGAGAAGACCTGTGTCACAGGCCAGGGCTTTGCAGTTTAGACATTTCCTGTTAAGTATTAAAAAAAATTTTTTTGCTGTATTTATTTGAAAGGAAGAGTTAGAGAGAGAGAGAGAGAGAGAGAGAGAGGGAGAGGAAAAGAGATAGCTCCTGCCTCTATATAACTCTCTGCCTTTCAAACAAATAAATAAATCTTTAAAAATTTATTTATTTATTTGAAAGGCAGAGTTACATACACACACACAGAGAGAGAGAGAGAGAGAGAGAGAGAAAGAGAGAGGTCTTCCATCCGCTGATTCACTCCCCAACTGGCTGCAATGGACTGAACTGCCCTGATCCGAAGCCAGGAGTCAGGAGTTCCCTCCAGGTCTCCCACGTGGGTGCAGGGGCCCAAGGACTTGGGCCATCTTCTACTGCTTCCCCAGGCCATAGCAGAGAGCTGGATCAGAAGTGGAGCAGCCAGGACTCGAACCAGTGCCCATATGGGATGCTGGCACAGCAGGTGGTGGCTTCCACCGCTATGCCACAGCACCACCATGCCAAATCTTCTAAATAATAACATTAAAATGCTCAAAATGGGAAATCAAGAGAAGAATTCTAAGTTTTTTGTTTTCTGTAGAAGCCGAAGGCCTGGTGATTGTGAACTTGCCAGGCACAGCTAGTGACCCAATCCTTACGAAGAAAGAAATGCAGGTGAAGGGCTCAGAGGGTCTACAGACCAACTTGTGCCATCTGGTATTAGACTTCCTACTGTAGCTTCTTGCCTTCATGCACTTGTGTGAGTTCCAGTGACTTAGAGAGCAGATATACAAGTGTCCTTCTTATGTGGCCTCCATTTGGAAGCACTGCCTTAGCACATATAGCCTGTGCCATTGAGAGAAATGTAGGGTGAAAGATAGAATCATTTGCGGTTTACCTATAGGGCTGAGATCCCCCATATCAAACCAAGCACAGAGCAGTTCATTCAGTCATTAAACAGCTGTTCACAGAAATCATCAGGAAGTACAATGGGAGAGAGACTAGAGTGACCTCCTTCAAAGGAGAGATGGTGACAAAATTAAGGCAACAGGTATTGGATGGGGTAGTGTGAAGTTTAAAGCTGAGGTTTTGCTTTTTTTTTTTTTTTTTTTTTTTTTTTTTTGACAGGCAGAGCTGAGGTTCTTAAGAAAACCAAGAAAGATGGTCTGAAAACAGCAAAAGGAAGCAAGAAGGGGCCAGTGCTGTAGTGCAGTGGGTTAAAGCCCTGACCTGCAGCACTGGCATCTCATGTGGGTGCTGGTTCTAGTCCTGGCTGCTCCACTTCTGATCCAGCTCCTTGTTAATGCAACTGGGAAAGCAGTGAAGGATGGCCCAAGTCCTTGGGCCCCTGTTGCCAAGTGGGAGATCTGGAAGAATCACCTGGCTCCTGGCTTCGGATTGGCTCTGCTCTGGTTGTTGCGGCCATCTGGGGATGAGCCAGCAGATGAAAGACCTCTCCATCTCTGCCTCTGCCCTTCTAATAAATAAAATAAATCTTAAAAAAAGAAGCAGGAATACTCAAATTTGAGTTGAACAAAGGTGGTAGAAAACAGCACACTTGAGAGTGTTGGCAGAAGCAAAAGTTCAAGAGAGAAGCAGGTTTCAGGGCTGTTGAGAATAAAAGGGTCATTCAGAAAAGCCATTAATGAGGACAAGTTTTTCCAACGGCGACTGCATATTCCCCAGGTGCACTAAAACAATCTGGGGAATTGGAGTAATGAGAGATGAGGTCATATATATTATTTGAGCAATGATTTTTCAAACTTTGTGTCACTACTTGTTCATGTTTGGAGAAACCAGTTTAGAGCATTGTAATTAGTAAATTTTAAAAGAAAAGAGAATTAAACAAATAATATCAAGGTACATTATAAGTAGCAGAATTAGGTTCAGTTTTATGAATCTTCTGTTCCTAGTATGCGTGTTTGTTTTGTGTATATGGTGTGTGTGCTGTGCTTATATACATGTGGTGTGTGATGTCTGGACAGTATATGTGATGTGTGTTGGTGGAGTCATATGTGTATGCTGTGGTAAGTAGATGTGTGTGTGGTGTGACATGCATGGTGTGGTATGTGATACATATGTGTGGCATGGTATGTATGTATTATGAGGGACACAGGTATGGCATTTGCGATTTTGGGAGTGTGTGGTACACATGTGTGCTTGGTATGTGTGTGGTGTATACGTTTAGGTTTGAATGTTTATGTCCCCCCATATACCCTGCCAATTCATATGTTGAAATCTTTACACCAAGGTAAAAGCATTAAGAGGTGGGGCTTTGGGAAAGTGATTAGGTCATAGGAGCACAGCCCTCATAATGGGATTATTACCTCATACAATAGGCCCCAGGCAGACTCCCCTCAACCCTCCAACCATGTTAGGTTAGAGCAACAAGATGGCTGTTGATAAGCAAGCAGGTCCTTGCCAAACACTGAACCTGCTAGTTCTTTGATCTTGGACTTCCAGACTACAAAACTGTGAGAAATGAATTTCTGTTGCTTTCTCCACTTTCTATGATATTCTGCTATAGCAGGCTGAGCTCTATATGATAATGTGAGTTTGGTTGATATCTTGGTTGGGACATGGTTCCTATCCTTTGTATGGGTCACAGTTTGGATAAGGGGATGTACAGAGTCACAGGGTAATGCAAGTTTACTTGGTAGCCTTGGGGTTCTCATGAATCATGGCCATTTCTTCTGCTCTGCAAGGCAACCTGTGCAGACTGTGAGAGATGAGGAGGGCTGAGCCTCTGCTGCTGCCACTTGTACACACGAGTGGGCTCGAGCCAGGGGAGGGTAAGCTGAGTGCACAAAAGTCAAGAAGCAGAGTCACCAGCTCAGGCTGGGATTTAGGCCAGCGATTGTCAGCTGCGAAGGGTACTGATGTCAGTAAACGTTACCAAACAAGATGACCCTTTTCCCCAAAGGCACTGGAAGGCCAAACAATGAAGCCACCATGTTTTAGGGACAGAAAGCTTACTGTGCGATAGCCAAGCAAGAATTCAGGAGCAAAAGCTGACATTTGACTCCCTTCACAGCTTTTGTAAAGTATATTTATTGAGAAGAGAACATCGGGTAGAGATGGGACATGGAGCCAATTGGGTTAAATAGAAAGGGGAGTTCTTGGTTCTTCTGTGTAGGGGTGACCTAGTTACATGACCCTTCTTACATCAAGTGTTTAAAGATGGCAGCCTTAGATACTCAACAAGGGAAAATTGGGGGTCAAGATATCATAAGTTCACCCAGAGATCAGTGAAACACACACTATTTGCTGTCCCAGGTTTCTGGTTGTTTTCAACCAGCTTTGCATGAGGGTTTCAACGAAGTATTGCCATTCTGCAAGATAAGACACAGACTTTGAGGAATTCCTTGTTCCTGCTCTGCATCCTCCAGGGTACAGTCACATATTGTTTGATGTCTCAGAGCTAGTGTGTGAGTTCAGAGTTGACTCTAAGTCTCCACATGCTTTTGTACTCAGAATTTCTGGGCAGCTGTTACCAGAACTAAACCCACTCTTGTAGCAACCTTAGTTTTATAGGTGGAAATAAAACAGCCTAAAAATGATTGATTAAGGCTTATTTAGGGTAGAATAGGAGTGATGTAGGACCAAGAGATCCAAGCCCAAAGATTTTTAATGAATTTTGAGAAGTGTCCTAAAGTGGTCAAACTCTATCATAATTTGTGTATTCCTTGACAGTAAATTTTCAGTTATGGTTACACAGTGAGCATACATTGGCTTGTCCCAAAAGAGGGGGCTGGGCTTTAGATAAACAGGGGTGAATGTCTCACAGGGTGAGGATGATTTTCTTTAGAATAGGTAGTTACAAGCACCTTCAGAGACAATGTGTAATTTCTGAAAAGAGGTTACTAGAAAGAAGCCATTGATCAATTTAATAATATTTCTGGGAGTAGGTAAGGAATGCGTAGATAAAGAATAAAGGATTGCTCAAGGCTGCTCCACGTGGCCAAGATTAAACAAACTCCTATGTGCACATCACCCAAGGCAAACTGATCTGATAGGTAAGATGAACAGTTTAGCCCAGACGCTCTTCAGATAAGTTTTCATAGGTGTTTTCCTTGAGTGCTTTGCAAGCTTTTCAGGGACAATTTGTTTTCAGTTTTGTAGGTTCCTGGGGGACTTATCAGAGACAGAGACCAACTGATTTCTGTATATGTAGGAGATTTCACCCATAGTAGGAGGACCTTAATGTATGCAAAGAAAAAAAAATGTCCAGTTCAAAGTTCCCTCCAAACTGTCCCACCTCCTTCCCTTCTTATATTAACCAGAAAGATCTAAAGGACAAGCTCCAGGTCTAGCATCATCTCTCTGCTACACTCTGCCTCTCCCACGTGTTACAGGCCAGACCAGGTTTCCCTTAGTGTTATTAAGATCCCATTGTGCATGTAAAAGAACTGACACCGATTAAGATTACACATAATTATAACGAATAAACTAGAAGAGGTGCTTTGTTGTAAAGAGGTGGGGACAAACAAAGCAACAAAGAGAAAGTTACTATGCATCTATGTGGCCACCCAAGGCACTCAATCCAGCAAGGCTATTGTGAAGTCCCAGAAGATGATTCAGGGTTATTGCTTTGGTGGGGTCTTTCTTTATTTTTTTCCCATTTTGGCCTATTTCTTTCAATTTTATATGGAAATGTGGCCTCTTTAGGATGGCTGTAATTAACCTTGCACCTCTCTTTTCAGTCTGATTAATCTTTTTTTAAAATTTTTTATTTCATTATTTTTTTTTTTTTGACAGGAAGAGTTAGACAGTGAGAGAGAGAGGAAGAGAGAGAGAGAAAGGTCTTCCTTCCATTGGCTCACCCCTCAAATGGCCACTATGGCTGGCGCTGCGCCGATCTGAAGCCAGGAGCCAGGTGCTTCCTCCCGGTCTCCCATGCGGGTGCAGGGCCCAAGCACTTGGGCCATCCTCCACATCACTCCTGGGCCACAGCAGTGAGCTGCACTGGAAGAGGAGCAACCGGGACAGAATCCAGCTCCCCAACCGGGACTAGAACCCAGGGTGCTGGCGCCGCAAACTGAGGATTAGCATAGTGAGCCACGGCGCTGGCATTTAGTCTGATTAAAGATTAGCCTTCTGGTTTCTCATCAGGCTGATCTAGGAATACCCAGCAACCCCTACCCTGGCCCCACGACAGCCACATTGTGGAGGAGAGTTAGCCATAGGGCCCTCTCCCTTATGAGAATAGCTGAATATGTGTTTATTCTCATTTAGAATAGACTCACACCAGGAACTGGCTATACATAAGGAACTAACAAACAAGCAGTCCTTTGAAAATTTTTGCTAAATGCCAATCCATTCTTATATTTCCAATGTAATTGGGTAGGGAGGTGAAAGTCATAGGTGTAACTTTTTGGAATATTCACTTCAGTGTGATTTCTTTTAGTTTTTCTGTCTCGATCTTTTAAGATTTTAAACAAGGACATTTCAACAGATAGTATCATCTTGACTTAACATATTAAATTTGGTTCAAGTAAGAGATATGTCATTAGATTGTGTTGCCATAGACGCCACATATAATGTTTTACTATATTTTATGTTTGTCAAAGAACAAAATTATAGCAATTTATTTAAAGATATGAATTGGATTTATTTTCAATTCTAGAATGAGCAACATTTCATTCCATATAATAGAATAAATATTCCTATGGACTGAGCTGAAACGTGTTTTATAGACAGAGAAAGGTTGGGAAAAAAGCAAAAAAAAAAAAAAAAGCACAGATTGATTATTTCATAGTCACTTTCCTTGCAGGCATAGGCAAATAGAACTTTAGGAAACATTAATAATGGGTTAACATCAGCTTATTTCAAGTTCCTTATTTGTGTATGGAGTAAGGCAGAGAGGTCTTTCACACAATTGAAACTGGCCTGTTTGGGAAATTTGGCAGTCATCTTTCTAATCCTGATTTCCCAGGAAGTCAGATAAACAGCCCAGTTTCAGCTCAGTGACTAGGAATTCTAGCATGAGTGACTCCATTTTGATTTTAAGCTTGGTCTGTTGGGGTCTAGTGCAGGAGATTAGTCCAAAGCAATGACCTTTTGTAATTTTTATTTTATACAATATACAGTTACCAACTTCGCAGTGTTGAAATAATGGGTGCAGGTTTGGAGATGCAAGCAGAAAAGCCCTTTCCTAGCTTTTCTGGTTGTGGGATTATGATCTGATAGCCATGGGTGGTTGTATTATTGTGAAAAAATTTCACTGAGAGTTTTAGTGCAGATAAGAATATGTGTGATCACGAAGCCACCAGGATCATAGCACAGGCCTATTTAGAGTTCTGTATTCTGTATTCTTTGTTTTTGTTTCAATATATAAGGAAAAGCTCACACTTAATAGATGCAAAGCATAGATAAGATTGGGGCCTGCACTGTGGCATAGCAGTTAAAGCCATGCAGTGCCAGCATCCCTTATGGGTACCAGTTTGTGTCTCGGCTGCTCCACTCCCAATCCAGCTCTCTGCTATGGCCTAGGAAAGCAGTAGAAGATGGTCCAAGTCCTTGGGTCCCTGTGCACACATGGGATACCTGGAAGAAGTTCCTGGCTCTTGGCTCCTGGCTCCTGGCTCCTGGCTCCTGGCTTTGGATTGGCACAGCTCCGGCTGTTGCAGCCAACTGGGGAGTAAACCAGCGGCTGGAAGGTCGTTCTCTCTGCTTCTGCCTCTCTGTAACTCTGCCTTTCAAATAAATAAATAAATCTTAAAAAAAAAAAAAAAGAATAGATAAGATTGACATCAGCCTTTAATATGCCCCAATGCTGCATCTTTAGGTTGGAGTTTGGATCCAATTGCTCTTCCAGAATAAATTATAACTCTATAGTGCCTGAGGCTAAATGGCTTTCTATTCTTTTCAAAATCATTCAGTCATTTCCACATGTGATGAGTGAGCTAGAAAACTGAAAAGTCCAAGTTTGTTCCAGCACAGTAGATTATTTTAGCTCAGACAGAATGAGCCAGGTCTGGCATCCTCTGCTCTTCAATTATAGGCTTAACCTGGACATTAAATAGGAAATCAGGAATAACAAAAGGTACCTGCTTTCTAGTCTAAACCACCCTCTCAACATGTCTACTCAACTTGGTAGCTTCCACTCAGATTGGTTATTAGTAATGTTAAGCTATTTAAATCAGCTTAAGGACATTGCCTGACATTATCTGATATTACTTTTGGGCTATGTCACCCTGTGTATATTTGTCTCTGCTTTTATTTTAGCTTTTCTTTTCAGTAATTTCTCCCTCAAATCAATAGATCCTTTATTACATTATTAAAATACCACAAATGAGATTTATAATCTGGGTTTTTGTTTCTATATCTGGAAAATTGGAGCTCATATTACCAGCCTGCTGAGCTGTCTGTCCCCTTTTCAAAGACCTAGATATCATCCAAAGTGTTCTGGATATCCTGTTGTTGGCCTGCTGAATCAAAGCAGCTGGATTTGAAACAATTTCAGTGTCATTTCCTTCAAGGGCTAATTCGTCTTTCTGGGCTTAAGATACTGATCTAGCAATACCTGGCCTCATCTGAACCCTTTGGATATATACTTTTCACCTGAGAAATTTTGGATTTCAACAAGAGACCTGTTCTCCTGAAAGGGGAAGTAAGTTCACACAGACAACGTAAATAGTTGACTATTTATATTTCCCCACCTTCGTCAGCCTAGAAACTCTTCTTTTCCTTCCCAAGAGGACTCAGTTCTACACTGACGGGAGTGAAGTCCCTCTGCAGGGCTCCTCTGGGAGCCTTTCACGATAATCGTGTGCTCCTTCAGGTTGGTGTCGATATTTTCTGGATTGCTGAGAATTGTCTTCATTATCGCAGTAGGTGCAACAAAAAGTAATCCAGCTTACTTTTTTTAAGGAGTTACTTATTTACTTGAGATGGCAGAGTTACTGACAGAGAGAGGGAGAGACAGAGAGAGATCTTCCATCTGCTGGCTCACTCCCCAAAGGGCCACAAAGGCAGGAGCTGTGCCCATCTGAAGCCAGGAACCATGTGCTTCTTCCAGATCTCCTACATGAGCGAAGGGGCCCGAGGACTTGGGCCATCTTCT